TGTGTGTTAAAATATATATATATATATCGTTTCAATAGAGGATGCGGTCTGATTTTTGATAGGTGATTTATGCTTCCTATCGTGTCAAGATTTGGCCACTCTATAGACCTATATATATATATATATCAATATATAATTATGCAAATATGTCATTATATATTTTTATATATAGGTTATATATAACCTATATAATGACATATTTTGCATAATTATATAATGACAAATGATCGAATTATGCAAATATGTCATTATTTTTGTGATGCGAAAGACATACAGTATTGATATCATAACAAAACATTGAAAACGGAATTGATTTGTATTTTTATTTGTGATTCGCATCGCATTACATTCGACTTAATTAAATCAGATTGCATTCTGTCTAGTATCAAAAACATCAAAAAATAATTTAGATAGTCGAAATTATTTTAAATAAATTGCTAAGAAAAAGAAAACATTAAATTATGTCTCTTAAGATAAAAGCCATACATAACTGGACACATTTAGTGTTGTCCTTTATCAGTTACATAGTATCATATCATATTACATTTATAATGACTGAAATCAGGTATGCTGTAGTAAAACTTATGTGATAATTACATCAAAAACTGTATTCTTGATGCGTAAATTAAAATTATATATAGCCTATATATATAAAATTTTGTGCAAAATGTTTACAATTATAAAAATTACTGTTGAATTTTGAAGATACTTTATTCTAGAATAAAGTATTTTTCTACATTTCTGCAGGCTATTTTTTGCTGAGTACTTGCATTTTATTGTATTTTATTTATTGTATTTTACTGTATCTCATTTTATTATTTTTTATTGTAATTTTTTGTATTCTACATGTACTTAATCATATTTAATAATGTACTTAATGTACTTTATTGCATTGTATTATTTTTTATTATATTGTATTAAAAATATTTGACTGTATTTTTAATGCTTTTGTATCACATTTTACATATTTTGTGCCATAAGTTATAGGCTGTATTCTGCGTTTTAATTTATGTTGTATTGTTAATTAGCTTGTTTTATTGGAGATATTTTTTGTTACTTGGAGTTGAATCGATAGTCTTTGGACTTTATTTGTATACTTAAAAATAAATTACAAAATACAAAGATATAATGCACATGTATCATATAAATATTTAAATGATTCTGTAATTTCCTGTTATTAATGTTTAAATGTTACTAATTCCTGTTATATTAATATTTCGCACGATTTAAAACCTGTATACGTAGACGCCAGTATTTAACTCTGCAAATATAATGTTCTTTATAATATACAGTACGTGTAAAATTTCTACATAACCTATAATTTGTTAACATTATTAACACTAAAAATATTTGAAAATCAATTGACGTTAAAGACTACCGTTACTTATTTTATCTGTCATCTTTGTATTGTCAGTACTGTAATTTATCAAATACTTGCCAAACCTAAAAAATTAGTATTTGTTAGGATGCTGTATTCTTACCATCTTTAATCATTTTAATCCTGCAAATCAGGTTGGTAATTTCTCACAGCACATATTCTAAGTTAATGACGTATAATTTTTATTGCAGTAACGTTTGTGTATTACATATTCATTTCGGGCTAATGTATCATCTCAGCCTCTCTCCAGTGATATGAGAACAAATATAAACCCAACCCTTGAAAAAATGTAAGAAACGCAGCATATGTACAAGTACATTTCGAGTATTATTCTTACAAATCATTAAGTAGTACCCTGTACATAAACCACTGCAATTTATTCCCATTACGTTGAGGAATAGGTATGAGTAGATACACAATAAATATTTTTAAAATTCAGACATAAATATAATCATTTTGAGGTATGAACAAGTGCACTACAAGTGTTAACTATTCCGACATCCACATATAATAACTCTGTCTCTGATTTGCAGGATTAAAGTGATTAAAGATAATAAACCTAAAATATTTTAACCTAAAATCCCAAAATTTTTACGAAACCTAAATATACTATTTTAATTAACTTTTTTCGTTTGTCTGCTTGTAAATGTTTCAACTTTTATAAATAAAAACTTTTTATTTTCTTTGAAACTTTAGAGATTTTTTTAAACATTTTCTTGAATTTGAAAAATAACTGAACAACTGATTTGGTCAATAAACAATACCCGAATCTGTTCAAAAGAGTCAAAAGTCAAAGAGAAAATCGTTTTGATTCCAGGAATGGGCGTATCCTCCTAAATCAGGTGTATACAGCATTTATGTGTAAGCTTGTTCGTTGGATGAGATAATGAACTTGTTCACGTCAATTTAACATTAAGGTATACAGTATACACTTTCCGGAAAAAAAGAAAAATGAAAAAAATCAGAACAGACTTATGTTAATGAAGAAGATAAGTTGAGATCCTATCTCGATTAAAACATTTATTTTTAGACTGAGACTTTATTCTTATTTTCAGTAAACACGTACAGTACATTATATTTCCAGTATTATTTTATCATTTTTTATGTTTATTTTTTTGTTCTTTGTAAACAATAGGTTAATTTTATTTTTCTAAATAAAATTGTTATTATAAATAATGATATCAATATATACATATTCATCTATATCTATATCTATACTACTATATAAAGAGACAACGTATTTTTCGTTTGTGACCACTAATCGTGAAAACTACTGAAACAATCGTTACCAAATTTTAACTGTAGCATCTTTATGAACCCCGGAATGTTTACCACTAATCAAACATGCAGATTTTTTGTTAAACATTCATATAAATTAAAAGATATCATCTAGGGTTAAGGCTTTTATGTCCAACAGATGNTTGAAATCTTGGAACATCCCATATTTTCCACAAAGAATTATTGATCAGTCAAGTTGAGCTTGCTTTTAGTGTATCCAAATAAGTATTTAAAAAATTCAAAGTCAAAAGTGACACGATTTAAAAATTTATTTTTATGGTGTGAAAAACAATCATTTGTGCCCACTTTTTTTTTTTTCATTTTTTCATTATTATTTTAAACAAGTTTCAATGTGTATAGATTTAGAACATGTTTGTATAACCAATCCAAATAAAATTAAGCTAGTGTGTTAAATAAAGCATAAAAAGTATTTTATGATTATTTTTCTTTTTCTTTCTTTTATGAATTACACAAATTGTAACAAAAGTTCTGGGGTCAGAGTGACCCCCCCACCTCTCAAGTTGCGTTTTTTTTTTTTTTTTTTTGTAAAATTTTATGAGTTTATTAATTAGTTTTTCGTGTAAAAAATTTATCAATATCATTGTGATAGAATTTTTTTTCTATTTTGATTTTGTTAACTGATTATATTTCCTAATAAAAATGTCCTTGTTTCAAATCAACGGTAATAAAATATGTTTTTCTAGTTTTCCTATTTCTTATAAAAGAAATTTTATAAAAATGGGTAATTTTAGTTATAATTGCATAAATTGATTTCTTTTTGTTTGTGTAATAGAATACTCTTTTTTCACATCAGCTAGTCTTCTTTTTTTAAAATTATTTTTGAGTCTCCGCTTTGTGAACATTAAGAGTGTCTTTTAATTATACCCAGCATAGGTGTGGCCATGCCCACAAACGGGACAGGGCCCAATATATCCTAGACAGACCACCCCCAAAAATTCCAAATTCCAATTCGATCTCCCGGAATCGAGAGCAAAGGTTGCCAACCGTCCTCCATTAGGAGGACGATTGGCAACCCTTTCTCTGGGTAACTTTCTCCGGGTTAAACTTATACTGTCCTCCTTTTATCAATAACTCTTTCAATTTGAGTATAATTTAAGTGTCTATTTTTATTTACTTTGTTATCACTGAAATATTACCTACAGACGATGTTTCAATATTCTATTTTCTTAATCTGAACTAATAGTTTGGTCTTTATCATTCACTACAATAACAGAAACACTACTGTTATTCAGAATCGGAAGAGCAAAAAATTTTAGGGAATCGAGTGGGGTGGTATTGTGCAACAATTGATAATAATTCTAACAACGCGTTTAAATTTATTTTTTAAACTGTAAATTAATGATAATAGATAAATCAACAAATATTTATAACAAATAGTTTGTTATAAATATTTGTCCTCCAACATACAATTTCTGTATAATGTCCTCCTTTTTTACTATAACAAACTTGGCATCCTACCCAGAGCAGTAGGCTGGCCTTAATCACTTCGGCCTTTTGACTATTTAATTATTTTATTTGACATACATTTAAACGTGTTCCTAATAATTATAAACGTTTAATGTTAATTCTGCCATATCACCGTTTTTACATGTACATATAATAAATTTTATACTATAATATAAATTTAAATATATAGGAATATATTGTTAACGTATTTCCATAGAATTGTCTCTACGAAATAGGGCAAATGAAATATTGCTTAACAAAAATGTTATCAAACCAGAATTATTTTACTACATTTTTCATTTACTTTTACAAATTAAAGTTAATTCGAAACACTAATTTTACTTTTCTTTCTAAATAATAATAAAAAAATCTGCAAGAAATTTTGTAATAACTAAATCGAATGATATAGTCGACAGAATTAAACACTATTTCTTAAGTATAATTTTCACTATTTTATAGTAAGTATCCATTACTTTTACTATTGTTTATAGTAAAAATACAGTAATACCATTATTTTAATAAAATATTTATTTTAAAACGAGAATTTATTACACATATTTATGTCAATATTATGTAAATATCATATTAAAATGATTATTTACAATATTAAAAATAATAAAACTCATTAAATTAAATTTAATAACATTATTTGCAATATTTTAAGAAAAATTTATTAAATGCATACCTTGTGTTTTGCTCATATCCATATTTTCATTAGAACTGACAGCGTTTGAACAAACCAAATGCTGATTTTCCTCTACATTTTCTTCTTTATTTTCATTTTCTTTTGTTTTATTTTCTCTATTCTTTTGCTCTTGTAATTCTTTTATTCTTTTTAATTCTTCGTCTTGAGCCTGTTCTCGACGCAGCTTCACTTGCTGTGCCATTATCCTCTGTCTCTCGGCTGTGAGGATGCATTTATCGCATGTACAATAGCCGTAGGGACAATAGCGTTTATGACCTTTAATACCGATATTAATGCCATGATTTTTACATCTAGAGCATTTAGGTTTTCGAGTTTTGCAATTATTCATGTCGATAACATCGCTTACATCAGCTGTAGCGATGGTTTCGCTAGAGTTTTCCTCTACGACAGAATTGTGTATTGCTTCATCCATTGCCAGTTATCAACTGACGAATGATATCCTTGAAACATTAAAAATAAACTGGTTTAATGGTGATTCTGCTTGTAATAATATGACGTCATAATAAAAATTTAGGAAATTTTTAATATTAAAGTATTTAAAATAAAAAAATTGAAGTTTAAAATCCAAATTTTATATTTATTATCTATTACAACACACAATATAATGTTTTATTGTCTAAGTAAATTTAGTATTTAAGAGATATTTTTCTTAAGTTATCACTTATTTCTTACTGTAAACATTACTTTTTATACACAGAAAATAATGGTATTTATAAACTAAATATAACATTAACTTTATAATTAATCTTTTCTTATTTTAATTTATGTATAATAAGATATATTCTACAAGTATTTCTAAATAGTTTATACAATCTAATATATTGTAAATAAATAAAGAAATATTTTAATTTATTTTTTATCTGAAATGAAATAAATAAAAAAATAAACTAGCTTGTCTCAGTTATTGTTTATTAATTAATATTTCCACCATTTTTTATTGTTAAATTAATTTTTCTTTCATTTTTTTATTTAGTAAAGTAATATACATAAATTATGTACATTTTAATTTTTTTAATAAAATCGTTTTTTGCATCATCATTATCATTATCAGCAAATATACGGTATTTATCTATTTAAAGTAAATTATATAACTATACTATCGTTATACTAATCATATATATTATAAAAACATTTATACAATAAATTAATTAGAAATTCTATTAATAAAAAAATGTTTCATGGTTAATTGTTAATGCTATTTTGAAATTCTTCCAATTAAAAATTACTGTTTGTTTTTTTCTTTTTTATAAGTAATAATTTTTAAAATCATTCTATACTTTTTTTTATTAATGTACTGCATTTTTGTAATGTATTGCATTTTTGTATAGAATGATTTTATTCATAGCTATTTTCAATAGTTGTGCATATAACTAATTTCAAAGGGATTTTCACAAAATGATTTTAGCATTTCTTTTTATTTCTTAATTTTTTTTATTTCTCCAATCAATTTTGTATGTAAGATTACTACTTTCGATTTTTCAATATGATATTTTTTTAATTAAAAGTTGGAGTGTGTTCTCACGTTAGTCTATGAATAATAGCATCTATGTAGTTTTAATATAGATTGCAATTATTACATACAGCTGTCTAATATAAACAAAAATCAAATAAATGTATTGTATAGATACAAAAAATGATATTATTTCCGTTTAATAAAATTTTAATTATCAAATTAAACTTTTGTTAATTTGCATAAAATTATTTGTAAACTGTTAAAATGACCTATTATTTCAGTTAAGATCGTAACTTCCAAACTACATTTCCATCTGAAAGAAATAATGAAGACATAACTAAAAAGAATTGCAAATTATTCTGGGATAAAAACTTAAGTTATATGCTAAAAGCATGAATTGCCTAACCTGTAGAAAGTCATTCGATATCCATTAACTATTGAGTAACTATTGATAAAATTATATATTAAGTAATAAATCAAATAAAAATATTTAGCGCACGCAATTTATTNCTAAAAAGAATTGCAAATTATTCTGGGATAAAAACTTAAGTTATATGCTAAAAGCATGAATTGCCTAACCTGTAGAAAGTCATTCGATATCCATTAACTATTGAGTAACTACAACTATATATTAAGTAATAAATCAAATAAAAATATTTAGCGCACGCAATTTATTTCATGTCGTGTAATTATAGTAATCTCAAGCGATTATGTTAATCTTTATTTATTTGTTTTGTATAAGGTATATTTTAAAAAATGCATTACTACTGTAATCTTCTTTTAAAACTGAATTTATAACTTCTTGAGTAGAAATTCCGGTATAAATTTTACATCATTAAACGGTTTTATTTATAAATTTATACATGGTATATATACCTTATATAAAACACTGCAAAGTGATATACTCCCACTATCGTAATTATTGCTTAAATCGGGCAAGTTGAGCTTACATTAGGTAATTTTCCGTACTAATGACAATGAGGTGGCCAGACGTTCGGGTTTCCGATTCGAACGAAACATGGTGAGCATGTAGCTTTAAACACAAACAGCTCCTTATCCAAATAATAGGACCCACTTCTCACGCGTTTCCAAAAAACGGACCTCTGAAAATTGAGTATTTGGCTTTTGTCTTCGGAAGATTCACGTCTCTGATTGGCGATAGCCGAGTGGAGTTAAAGTAAAATTCCAAAGCTTCGAACCTATATCGTGTAGCTCCAGTGCCTAGGGTCTAATCCACTCGGGTATCGCCACTATACACGATGTATATTTCCGCAAAATCTACGAAATGACAACGCTTGCAAAATTCATGTACCATCTACAAAGGACTCAAAGGAAAAAATACCGCTGAAAAATGGAAAAACACAGATCATACAGGTTTTCGAAAATCCAAACAAACTATTGACCCTACGAACTGTCACTGATTAACTGATGGAATGTAAATCACTCAACTAATACTGTATATTTTTTCTTTTATAACGACGAAACAAAATTGTAACGTTGTATAAAACTTTACGCAGTCATTTGAACTGGAAAAACGATGTTTTACTTTTCCTAAATATGTATATGTATAATTATGTGTAAATAAATGCATATAATTGGAAAAAAATAAAAATATATGCTAGGCACTTAGACTAGACGATGGTTCGAACCTTCGGAATATTAGTTTAACTTTGTTTCTTTTTAATGTAACATAATTATTTTATCATATCATTAGCATTATTATTACTACTATTCCTCACGTTTAAAACACATAAAACAATGTCGTAATAAATATAAAAACATAAATCATAATGTCATTTCCCGTTTAGCGAAAACAAGCCTCTGTAGATTTAACTCTTTCACGTTGTTAAATAAAATTTTCTACTGCAACCTTTCCTTTTGTTATTCACATTTGGGAAGGACCTTTAAGCATTGGGGATTTTGTAACAATGTTTAGCTTTTTTGTGTTGTCACCACCTTCATATTTATTTTCATATATGATAGTATTGTGATATTTGAAGTGTAACAAACACGAGTGCAAAGGAAATTGTCCATAATATTAACGATTAAGAATATAAAACGCTGCTACCCTATTTTCACATCACTTGTCTTTTCGTCCATGTGTAACAAATCTAAAGCTTATTAGCTTGTAACGAACAAATTGTGTAATCACGAGCAAAAATATGTGAAAATAAATGTGAATAAATAAAAGTTTTATTTAACGACGTAAAAGAGAAAAAATTTTTCACTCTCGTTTGGAAAATGTTATTTTGTCTCTGCGAAAATTATTAAATAAAAAGGAATACATAAACTATATGTTCTTTGAAACTTTGCATAAAGTTCCTACTGAGAACAAATCAAACAGGAACACTCCTTTGGATGAAAAAAGTAGATTTATTTTCTATGATTTACAACGAATATGCATTTCGGGCTCTAAGCCGTTCGCTCTTCAGTCCTTATTTAATTATATAAATCAGTAAAACTAAAAATAATTACAGTGACAACTGGAATAAATAATTATTAAAATCATGGGGTAGAACAAGTAAAATTGTAAAAAAATTATTTCGATAAAGCGTATAAAAAAATTGACNTATATGTTCTTTGAAACTTAGCATAAAGTTGCTACTGAGAACAAATCATACAGGAACACTCCTTTTGATGAAAAAAGTAGATTTATTTTCTATGATTTATAACGAATATGCATTTCTAGCTCTAAGCCGTTTGCTCTTCAGTCCTTATTTAATTATATAAATCGGTAAAACTAAAAATAATTACAGTGACAACTGGAATAACTAATTATTAAAATCATGGGGTAAAACAAGTAAAACTGTAAAAAAAATTATTTCCATGAAACGTATAAAAAATTGACTAATAAAGGTGGTAAAAACATAAACCCTTAAAACCAATAAAAACTGGTTTAAAAAAACAAGGTGTAAAGGCTTTCACTGTATATTTATTTATCAGGTAGGCTGATACCTTATTTGTACTACCCCATGGTTTTATACGTTTCTTCATACGAAGAACTTAATTTAACCTGAATAAGACAAAGAATTAAGATTCCACTAGTAGATAAAATTATCTTCAATTTTAACAGTCACCGCAAGGCCTTCGAATCGTTCCAGGGAAAGAAAATCACGACACAGTCATTGTCCGGAGCAGAATCGAATGTTTTTAAGAATTGAGAACTTTCAAGAATCGGAATGGTTTTTCGAGAACAGATTTCTTGAGATCAAGAAACGATGTAATTCATAGAAAGCAATGAGAATTAGAAAACATGGGCTGCCAATTTGCCTTGTACGGAATCAGTACCAGTACGAGTACAAGAGTATTCGAGAACTAGTTGATTAACATTGTTGAATACAGGGATTGAACTTAATGATTAATCAGAGTATTAAATTTTCTTAAAAATTAATTGCGGCAATTCCTTTATACACGCGGCTTTACCAGATGTGTTTACTTTACTTAATATATAGATACCGTATTTTGGTTAATGTGATTTTGATATACGCGGTAAGATCGAGAGATTAATTAACCGCGTTAATCAAGAGATACCTGTATTTTATTTATTGAATATTTTTTAAAATTCTTTCCAATCAGTGGATACTAAGAGGGCCTCTTTTAGCAAGCCCATTATGGGTTCGGCCGGCCAGACCCACAATAAGGCGGCGGGTGGTGAGGGACGGGGCCCAACATATCCGGACGGACCACCCCCGAAAAATTCCTGCGAATTGGGTTACCCGAGACAATTCGAGAACCAAAAACTAGTGTCTCGAATCGAATTTTGTTGTTAAGTTCCATCGAGTCGTCGTCGACTCCTGGTGACTTCATGGACAAGTCTTCTCCATTTTGATCTTTCCCTTGTCTCTCGTAGCTCCTCCAGCTTCATTTCTGTGACTTTCTCGATTTCTTCCATCCATCTNTCTGGTACTCTTTTGCCTTTTCTAGAATCCATCTGATGTTGCTAATTTGATCGCGAGTTCCTCTTCCCTTTCTAAATCCAGCCTG